AAAATTTAGTTTTCTCATTTTCTAAAATATATCACAAACGATTAGCAATAGCGATAAATTGTATGCGATGTACTGGAGGGGCGATAACAAACAAGAGTGGCGGGGCAATAAATTTTATACGGTGTACTGGCGGGGCGATAACAAACAAGTACCGAATTTTTTTCTGGGATTCTTAATAATCACACAATTCATAGCCTATATCACTTAAGTTTTATGACAGTAATAAATTTCAAGATAAGGAAAAATCTCATGAAAAATTTTAAACAACTAATGTCAAATATGATGAAGCTCTCCATATCACAAGATCAAAATCAAATTTTGTGGAAACAAATGTACTACCCTACATTGAAAAAAAAAAATAATAGATGGTTTATTAATGTGTTATACATACATTACTTATGAACAATATGTACCTATACAAACAAATTTTAACTTGTGATTTAATTATAATAATAGAATGTAATATACTATCTTGAAATAACTTTAAATCTTGGTTGTTATGACTCAGTAATTGTGTACTATTTCGCCCCTTTAATCAGTTTATTTTGATCCATAGCCTCATTTTATAATTTATATACTATAATATATATTTTTTTCTCAGAACAAATCAGAAAAATGGATGACTTGGATTCAATCATAATCAACCTAAAAGCTTGTCTAATATCTACCAAAGGTGGAATACAATTAAGTCAAATAGAAAGTAAGTTGTTGAAATGTTTTTCCTTCTTAGATTTAAATTTTTGTAGAATTGATTTTTATGGTTATAAGGTCAGAATGTGGGGCGAGTGACAGATTCTCACATTACAATTAGATAATAATTTAGAATATAAGTACCCAAGGATAAATTTACAACATAGCAATTTTATATCAATCAGAATCAATTTTATGTTGTGTGTGGGTCAGATGGAGATAACAAATAGTATGCTGACATCCTCTTAAATAAAATTATCAATCTTAAGTAAATTCACTCTAATAGTTTTATTCCAACCCTACACTCTTGCTGAGGCAGTACAAGTTAATTCGAGTACAAGTTCATCTATGTTTCACTCGTCAGTTATGCCTAGCCTCACCTCTGGGCTCACTCTGTGTTGGTTTTTGGGTCGTAAGTCAAAAGACATATGATTGTATTTAGGGGTAGTGAGAGAATTGCTAACAAGGTGGGGATACAGCCAAATATTTTTGGTTTATGTGTTAAATTCATCACCCTAAAAGATCCTTCAAATTTTAATACTGGTATCAAGTAAGTATTAAGTTAAATTATTACCTGTCTATATTTTTCAGCAAATTGTATTATCAATTATCAATATCAAACTCTAATTATGACACATAACCATTAAAACAATAAAAAAAATKCATCTATCTTTGATTGTTTCATGTAACATAAGATACATTGATTTTTTTAGGTGTAATTAAGAACATAATTAATATTAATGCATTTAATTAATTTTTCTTTGGTTAACTAAAATTTAAAAAAGACTAAAATGACCTTTTCAATTTTCTGTGCAGATGAATATTTTAAAGTAACTGGTGAAAGAATTCCATTCAGGCAGTTGGGATTTTCATCATTAGAAACCTTATTACAATCTTCTGGAAAGTTTACAATTAAAAATTATGGTGGGAATGCTGTTGTACAAGCTGTAGTTACTAGTAAAACACAACATTTGACTGAGCTTATCAAAAAACAGAAATCAAAACCCCCCAAAAAAAAACCAGTAAGTACTTATTTAAATAAATAAATTTGTATTATCAACTTATTATTTATACTAAAGATCTAATGAATTGTATTTAGTTATACATACTACCTTCATCAAGTAAAAATAGTTATATATAATATTATGTAATATTTCACACATTTTTTTTTATTTATAAAGTTTTACAGTTAAAAGTTGAATGGTAAAAGGGTACTCAGTGGCGGCACCAGAATTTTAATACCAGGTGGGCCAGGCTGGGGCCCAAATTTTTTAGGGGGGGCCAAATTGTTGACTTGATATATACAGGGTGATTTTTTTATCGAAGAACACTCATACTCATACACTCATACTTTTTTAAATAATGAGTGTTCTTCGATAAAAAAATCACCCTGTATATATAAACAATAGTGATGACAGGCAATTGTGCAGAAGGGGGAGGGGGAGGGTCAACTTCCAATTTTTCAATTTTTTTTACACTTCATCGTGTTAACTTACTAAAACAATGATTTGTAAACATGTATTAATAGTATTTATTTCCTAACAAAATATATATTCATGTAAAAGTATATTCATCAAAAGTATATAAAAATAGAATGCTTTTCCTTGTATTTTCTTTATCATAGTTGGTTAATAATCTAATCCCGTTGTTCATGGAATTTTCAACAAAATTATTTATAACATTGATTAATATTTAATAATAACTAGTAAGTATAACTTATTATTTTCGTATTCAGCCGCTGGAAAATATACGTTAGTTATGAGGCTTGAAAGCCTAGTGCATAGTTTTCAACCCATTCAAAATGTTTTCACGTTGTTTATTATGACTTTATATTTTCATATTTTGATTTATTCATGAGATATTTTTTAGTATTCTAGTATAATTAAATTTAATTTTTAAGGTGGGCCCGAGACTTCTTAAGGTGGGCCGGGGCCCACCCCTGGCGCCGCCACTGAGGGTACTAAATAAAAGAAATTGTTAAAAATAATTTTAAATATATGGAGGGATCTAAGTTATTACATAATATCTAGGAAAAATGTGTTGATCTTAAGAGATTCTTGCTTTTTGACTCTTCAGATAAGTAGGTATACACAATTTAACTGTGTATTTTTTATAACAATTAAACAATAGTAAGTATATGATTAAGTTAAGGTTTTTCATTTCATGAAGAATATTCTTGATTTTTTTCATTCATATGCTATCTATCCACATCAACTAAATAAAGTAAATTAATTTAAACTTTTTTTTATCATACACCTATTTTTTTTTCTCCAAACAATCAAATTGTCTTTTAAACAAAATATCCCATTTCTAATACAAGTAAAACCAACTAGAAATAATTCTTCCAATCAATTGAAAACAACATTTGTCTAAAAATTCCCTCAGATAGTGTCACAATCTATTTATTGCCACTCAATAATCTCAAACTCTTTATAATAACAAAAGTCTCCCTTAACATCTATAAGCATCTGTATGTGTGCAACAGAAGAACCTGAAACACTTTTTGGGCCGATTGGCATTTGCGATTAAAGTCTGAAGATCTATGACATAGATTCTATGTTAACACCACCTATTTCAACTACTAGCTGAATAACGTTATGTTAGATACCCTTATTACCCTTGACAATGTGTAACATCGGGAGTGACAAAACATATTGCAACAATATTGCTTGTTCTTTTTAAGATCTTTGTTTATATTACACAGAAAGCTACCTACTTTATACTATTTATAAATGATATACCTTTATGTTTAATGGATATATTTTAGATTCTGAGCGTACGTATAATAGATGCATTGATTTTACATTGATAAGTTATTTTTGTGTCTGGAGACATTTTTTCTAGTTTTAAAAATGATTTGATTATCAACATTAATGAAGATTTCTGGTAACAAATTGGATCTAATCTACTTTGAAAGAGCAAGATTGAAAATTCTCAAAATATTTTCAACAAAATTTAGGAAAAAATAAAAAAAGTTTATGTTTGTAATTTCACACGGATAAAGTGAAACTTTTTTAAATTGGTTACAAAATAAAACCTTCACAACACACATGTTCCTATTGTTTGTTTTGTGTATAAAAAATAATAATAATAAATATATTAGAAAAAATATAAATAAGCTGGTTTCCCCGATCATAATCGATTTTGAAACTGTTGTCAGTGTGCGTAATAGTCTTTCCTTTTTTCGTTTACCATTCATAAAAACATTACACTTAAAAAATAGGAACATTTTTTTAAATTTTAATACTATTATTAATATAATTGGTTAATCTTTGATTTATTTTAGTTATTCTTTTCTTTAAATGCCAATAAAATAAGGAATTATTAGTTTAAATACCTTAAAAAATTAGTAGGTATAAGGTTTCTTATAGGTAGTTGATATTGTAATTAAATAATCACTTATAATTTTATTATGATAGGTATGCAAATGCATGTTTTTTGGAAAAAAAAAATCAACCTACCAATGATTACAAATAGCAATTATATTACAATATTAACTATTTAAGACACATATATTTCTATCTATTCAGAATCTTTTTTGTATACATTGAATTCCATTTAACTATACTCTGTTCCAAATGAGATCGGACCTCGGCGGCGACCAGTTTTCGTTCGCGGACGGTCAGGCTCCTCCCCCACCATAGATCATGTGTCAGGCCGAGCCGCAGAAATAAGCCACGCCCATGCGCACAACTCGGCCACCGAGGTCCGATCTCATTTTAAACAGAGTATATGTTGTCTATACTCTTCTCAAGATAAAACAGACTTTAGCGGGGACCATTTTTTGTTGGTGGTAATCAGATGTAATGTCTGATACTTATCTTATCAAGTTAGCATGCATGGCCAGTGCTTAAGAACAAAAGCCACATCTATCAGCAGTAGTCAGCAGCCAAGTTATGTTTTTATCTTGTATAGAGTATATATCCTAGCAATGATCAAATCTATTAAAATCAACCTTTTCTTACCACCGACTGAATTGTTTTCACATTATTTTGGCAGCCTCTATACAACATCCTTTATTGTATTAAAAACTCATGAAAAAAATGTACACCATACGTGGTGTATTATCCCCTCTAGGTATGATTTTTCTTAACATGGCTAAACAAAAATAGATAAATATGTTCAATGTCAATTATTATTCTATCAAAAACTAAACTATAAAATATTATTTTTAAATTTCATCAACACAATTAACCAATGCACATGTTGTTTTATTTATATATCTTAAATTACATACTAAGATTTTTGGAAATTTTTACTTAACCATAAAAAATAAATCATAAATATATACATTTTTTAGTTTACAGGTTTTAAAAATGGTCCAAGAAAATTTGTTTCTTCAAATACCTATAATGGTTCTAACAGACCTAATAATTATTCTAGACCAGTAAATAATGGTTTGAGTTATAGACCTGTAAGTTTGATATTAATTTAATAAAATCAAACATATTTAAAATGCTTTTTTTTTCATTTTTAGCCAAGAAACAATTATCAAAGTACTTCTGTTCCTAACAACACCAACGGTCATAATAAAACACAGYCATCATATAGTAATAACAAACATAGATTCAATGTATGTATACATTTAATATATTATTTAATAGTAATAAAAGTAACAAGCATAATCACAATTAAGGAGATTGGATGGGAGACTTAGCCCTCAAAACTTGTTCTAGCACCCTTAAATAAATAATTTAATTGTTTCCTAATAAAATATTATAAACCTTTTAAAATTTAACTGTAGGTAATTCTTATTTATTTTTTGAATACAAATTTAATAATTTAATTTTTATCTTAAGTTTATAATTATTAATTTATATTGCATATGATAAATATCATTAGCTGGTATGCCTATATTGGTCTTTAAGGAAACAATTTATGTCAGTACATTGGTACTATTATTACTAGGGCTCGGATTTCAATGCATTTGCATCTTTTTTTGGGATATCTTACGCGATGCTTTCCAAGCTACCAATATGTTTCAAGTGCTTTGCAATCCAACCACAATAATTTTTTTGGGCATTTTTTGACGGTTTTAATGCATTTTTTAATTTTTTAGTACATTTTTGACCTATTTGTCGTATTATGACTAAAAAAATTGACCTCATTGAAATATAAGTACTAAATAGTAATATAGTTCTACGTAATAAAAATTATTTTCATTTTGAACTATTTGAACTAATTTAACATCAGGTTTTCCGGTTTTTACAACCTTTATGTCACACCATCCAATTAGCCGTTATTATTGCACACATATAAACTTTTATCGGATTATTTTCTTATCGAGCGATAATATTATATCGGTGGTGCGCGTGACCGATTGTCGGACACTTTCAGTCGTGTTGCGTATTACATCGAAGGTACGATGTAATTATATTGCATTGTAATATAATTTATAATTTATAATTTTTATTAGAATTTTATTTGTTCCTCATTTTTTAATAATAATTAAATATGAATTTATTTAATAAATAATGCATTTTTTGAAACGTCATTTTTGATAGTTTTAGAGTTTTTAGGTCATAAATGCATTTTTTTGAAAGGGCATTTTTTTTGATATTTTTAGGGCATTTAAATCCGAGCCCTAATTATTACACATAAATTTATAGTATATTAACTGTACTAAAATATACTAACAGTGAATATATTTAGGAGATTGGCGGGGAGGAGGTATTGCCACCTTTAGTTACTTTCAATCTAATATCAGACAAAGCTACAGCCTCTCCCCCTCCAACATTTTAGCCCTTAGTTGTGTCACTGTGTAGTAAGACCTCCATTTTAAAGTATGTTAGTCTTTCTTACATATAAAACATTTTAAATAAAAAAAACCCTTCAAACTTTAATGTATGAACATCATACATTATTATCTAAAATATTTTTTTAACAGGCAATCTATATCTAACTTTATTTTTAAAGTGAAATAATATGTTTTACTGTCATAAATATTATTGTGCAATAAATATTAAATATAAATTTATTATCACCAAACATTTACAGTATATTGTAATTGTAGATAAGTAGATACTATAGTTAAATGTGTGTAGATGTATAAACTTAAATTTCTTTCTAATAATAAACTATTAGCATTATTATAACTATATATACAGGTGTCTCAGAAAGATCTGACAAAATAAAAAAATATAGTAATTAAACGTATGACAAAAATTGTTAATGTTATATGATAAGTAAATAATTTAAGAAATATACTCATATTATTAGCAAATTCTCAAAAAACGTATTTTTTAAAAATTCATTATGTTCCAAATTAATTTAACCAAAAAAAATGTTGAATTAAATAAAAATAAACTACTTGACTTAGATAAATCTTTTACCATTAAAATTGTTCCTATAATCAGATATTTTTAGATATTTTCAGTATTAAAAAATAAAAAAATTATACTAAATTGTGTATGAGTTTTACAGAAAAAATATTTTAAATATTGAATACAACAAAAGTTATTCCAACTGTCAGATCATTGTGATACCCTATATATAAAATATAAATATTTACAAATTTATAAAATACCTACATAATAATGGGTTTTTTTTTTTTGTAATATAGATCTGGTTTTAATAATTTATTTTTCAATTAAATAGAAAAAATTAAAATTAAAGTATTAATTATAGACGCTTAGATTTCACATAGAGTATGTAATATTTTAATTGGATACTCCATTACAATGTGTTATTTTAGGATTTTATTATTATTAGATTTTATAATATTATTGTAAATGCATTGGCTCAATCAATACTATTGAGTAATGTATATTAAATTTACATTTTTTAGGTGTCTATTTATTTTATTTTAATTATTACATATTATTTTATGCAAATGTTTTTCCCAAAATTAAATATTAGATACTATTTTTTTATCTATAAAGTGATACATTTCATTTTTTTTAGAACTTAGAGCCAAAAACATTTGATCAGAATAATTACAAAAAGGTAAATGAAATCAATTACTTTTCTTAGTAATTAAATATTTACATTTATAATGTTATTTATCTATTTTTAGCCTCAGTTTCCTTTAAATAACTATAGTAATAATACTAAGAACTATAATGAAAACTATTTGCCAGACACAAAAGTAAGACATATTAATCATAATGATAATATCTAATCTGGGAAAATATATCACCCAACTAATAAAAAAGATACATATAATGTATTTATTTTTTTTTTTGGGGCTAAATTAATATTAATTTTTACCATAGATAACAACTAAAAACAAAAACAAAAATTAAATATTACTTTTTATTTTTTATTGATCCTAAGCTCATCAACTATGGACATTAGTTGTTGGTTTGTAGGGGGTTAGTTGGTTCGGAATAAGTATTGTATGTGTGGCAAGAATTTTTGTTGTTAAAAATCCTGGGTATGTACATAAGTACACAACTGAGTTTAGACACCAGGCCACATTAAAGTTATTATTCCTTATTATTTTGAACATTTGATTCTATCATGTTATTAGCATCTAAATAATTGATGATATCATGTTAGTATTCTGACATCACAAGCAAAAATGCTGCAAGTTACAAAATACATAAAAACAAAATTTATAATATAAGAAATAATAAAATCATGGGCTTTCTCACAGGGGGGGATAGGTCCCCCCCAAGGCTCTTTATTTTCTTACATATTAGTGATATATATTTTGTCTATTTTTGGTAACCCTTACGACTTATATAACAATTTCTTTCATCCCCCTCCATTGAAAAATCCTGAGAACGCCTCTGAACCAAAAAACTATAACACCGTAAGTCATACTATCTAATCTATACAAAAACACGTTTTTCTCAAAATCTTTCTATGGTGATTTACAGCGTTTTTGCTTCGACAGAAGTATTTATAAGTTATACAAATAAAAGTTATTTGTTGTTGTTGTTGATATTTACATTATCACTACATCTAGTCTAAAGCCAGTGGTACAAGTGTTCAGCTAAAACTTACATACTTATAATTTACACCTATATATAATTTGAAATATAATAATATAAGTCAGTGAAAATAGTTACAGTTTATCTAATTGAAATTTTGCAGAATACCTCTTTTTAGGAATTAAGTTTTGTTGGTAATTTTATGATTTTCTTGATAGTATTTTTAAGACTGGTAAAACTTCAGAGAAACTTTAAAGAAATAAAAAAAACTGATTTTAGTTATCTTTATATACTTTTGGGTCTGTCAGCACGTTTTGAAGTAGAAATAATGCTTTAACTTTTTGACTTCAGCAGCCTCTTTTTGAAAAGGAAAAATTCATCTAGTTGGTACTTTGAGTGGTCAAAAGTAAAAAACGAGTAGTTTTCAAAAGCGTAAGGAAAAACTTTAAAAAAAGTAACGAAAAAACAAAAATGTGTAAAACATGATCTCGACAAAACCTATATTTTTATTTTACTATAACCCAAAAATTATTGTCAATACTTGAAATTTTCACCAAATGTTTATATTAGCGTTATCTATTTACGATTAAATTTTCAAAATATTTTGACTTTTTTAAAGCTATTTATAGACAGTTGAAATTTTTGATTTTTCTAAGTTTTTTTTGTTTTGAAATGTCTATAAAAAAAAATTTGGCTATTCAAAAAATTGTTTAAATTTATTACAAGGTTTACTATAAGTTTTATTTATCATAGTAAAAAAAAAACAAAAATTGTTAGTCACAATTTTTGTTTATTAGTATTTAGAGTTCAAATGTCTAGGAAATATGTCAAAATCTCGAAAATTTTCATGGAATTATGATGTGATTTATATCTAAGGTTAAAAAACCCAACACAATGTTCTCAATAACTTATTCTTCTAAGAACTGTAAAAAAAAAACATGTCTGAAATCATACTTAAAAATTAATTACTTGTATCAAAAAAAAAATATATTTTATAATTTAAATATATATATAATACATCCTAGACATCTCCGTTCTGAATCATTTTTCGTATACAATGATACCTGTCATTGCATTCAAATTTAACACATCTAATTTAGTGATCTATTACATTTTTCGGAATTATGTTATTCACACATTTTTGCAATAAGATTTTAAATGAAATTATGCCATCTTTTAAAACTTTTCTACAAGCCTTTTTTTTACTCTTTTTATTTGTGTATTGTGTGTGAAATGATTTCTTTGTTTATATAAATGCACTTTAGTACTATAATTATATTGTAATGTTTTGCAGACTTAGTTTAATTAGTTGATTGGTTGTTATTGTAAGTAATGTCAATACTTTATAACAATGGTGTTTACAAGAATTTGTCTTTAAGAGGATGTGATGCCTGCATGTGTTGTCTCTGTCTTACAAGTGCAAAACGTAGCAATTTTTACACTCAGCAGAACACATGTAGATCTGTTAGTTTAAAATTTAAAGTTAATTGACCTCTAATAAAATTTATATGTAAGATTATTATTAAGACAATTCATTGACTTTTATAATATTTTAATTTAAAGTGAGTTATGAGCATTTTAAGGTGTAAAAACTATTCATTATTTTAAAATATTCATAATTCGCTTTAAAATTAAAATATTATAAAAAGCCTATGAGGTTGTCTCGATAATAATCTTACCTTTAAATTGTATTAGAGGTCAATTTGCTCTAAATATTAAACTAACAGACCTACATGTACTCTGCTGAATGTAAAAATTGCTGTGTTCTGCACTTGTAAGATGGAGACAATACATCCTCTTAATCTAGAATAATAAATATTGTGTGTAAGCTAGGTGTTTATTATTTGCGATTGTTGTTATTGTTATATAATTATTGAGAGAGTATTATTATTATTTGATTTGATTTTGTGTAATGTACTTTTTTTTTAGAGTGTGAGAGTAGTGTAAGCTAATTCATAGTATATATGAAGGATATGTTACTTGTGCTAGGCGATTTTTGAGATACCTATATTCTATAAATTCTCATATTATGTTATGCCATAATTTCTTTATTATTTGTCAATAAATTTTATATTGTATGAAAAACAGAAGTTTGTATTGCCACAGGACATGAATTGAACAAWATGAAAAACCTTGAAGCACTTTAAAATGTGGTCTTTATATTGTATAGTTAAAAATTTTAAAAATCAAATTTTGAATTACTGTAGATATTTTTAAAGAAAAATAGAGTGTGAAGTGTGCTTGGTGAATCACCTTTATAATATGTCCAGTTGCAAGTTAAAGACATATTATCAAAATAAATGTAACTATTTATATTTTATCTTATTTGATAAATATATTGTATGGATGATTCAGTGACTACAGTGGCGCAACCAGGGGTGGGGTTTGGGGGTTGTGACCCCTCCCGAAATGTGTTTAAAAGTCAAATATTTCAAAGTGTCTTCACTTCATTAAGTGAAGACTTTTTTTTTTGCTAATTTATTTTTTTATATGTATAACCCCTCCCGAAAATAGATCCTAGTTGCGCCACTGAGTGACTATGATGACTTATTACCTTATTGCCTATTATAGATATGTATAGGCAAAACTACATATCAAAGCCAACAGTCCTTAAAAATGTACAGATAATATCTAAGGATAAATTGGTACAATTTTCCATTCTTCCATTTGTGTAAGTGGTATTGTGTTATTCTTGGAGTTCAATTATTACAAAATGAACAAAAAAAAACCAAATTTTTTTTTGAATAGCGGATATTTTTGATATATCTTGGCCTAACTCTGAAAATATCTAGTTGATACCTCTTTCTATTGTACAAATTTTATTAAAAAATGAAAATAGTATTCTATTTCAGATTAATAAGTGTTCTCTTATCTAAATAATTAACCTTTTCATATCATTTTATTAAACACTTTGGGTTAATTTGTATCTTTTTCTTCCCTAATCAAATGTTATATTTGTTTAGTTCAAATGGCAAATACAAGTTTTGAGAACCATTTAATCAAATTTTACAAGTATCAATATTTTTTAATGTTATTTAAAAATCATTTCTCATTTATTTATCCCCCTTCCTATAATTGATTTAAGGCTAGAAATATATTGGTTAGATAATAAATCTATAGATTTTCAAGGATTTTAATAATAATAATTGATAATTTTCATTTATATTTGTACAATTTAACAATGGTGTATGATATCTTTTCAATTGTATCTGTTATCATATTTTTAAAATTTCTAATAACTTTAATTCTAAATAGGTATTTCAATTATATATATTACAAATTCAATAAATTAAATATTTAATACAATCAGTTTTTGTTAGTGTATACAAAGCTATATTTTTATTTTTATAGACAATGAATAATCTACCCAATGATAATAGAAAAAATGAGGTTAAATCAGTTCCAATTTCAAATGTAAGTAAACATGAAATATATTAAAGCACTAAGTGAACATTTTTGTGAATAACATTGTTAACATTTTCTACATATACATGTTACAATAATTAATTTATGGTTAATTGATTTTTAAATTAGGAAGCAAATTCATTGAATGAAAATGCCAAATCTTATAATAAATTAGAACAAATTCCAATTACTAGCAGTTGCAGTAGCTTAGAATCAACATATAGCTCAAGCTCTGCTAGTTACAAGCCTAAGAATACATCAGTAAGTTTCACATTTTTAATTTTGTTTTGTTTTTTTTTTTTTTTTTTAACATAAGACATTCCTAGAATAGGCTATCTAAATCTACGGATATTTTGCAGGTTACATAGTAGTTTTAACATTATAACATGATAATTAAAATTAAAATATTTTTAATGTACACTAAGGATAATGTTAACAATGGTGATTTTAAGATTACAATAATATTCTGATATTTAATATATTTATATAAATATTAGCTATTTGCTTATCTTACTATGATATATGTGAATTAATGTATAGGTTTAATCGGGAATTCGGACAAATGTAATTATGGGGAAATATTGCCTTTGGCAATGAGAGTATTTAGTACTGTTGAGAGTAGGGCGATAAGAGAATTGATTAATGAGCTTAAATTTGTTAGTTTTTGTTATATTTATTAAATTTTGATTGTAAATTAAGGTTTTCTTTATCTTTGGATTACCAAACAAATTAATGTGGTACTGTTTTACAATGTATTTCATCTCTTATCTTTATAACATATAAGAATGAATGAGTTAGTAGCTAGTGTTTTGAATATCCACTAATGTTGAAAAAATATTTTTGATTAGTATTATTGAAGAATACTTATAAAAAAACATTAGAAATCTAAGCAGTATCTAAATATATTGACATCGTTTCATTTATTTCAATTTTTTTTCTACAAAGCTGTAATAATAATATTGTAGTTTTGAGGTATTGTTTTGTACAAAAAATTAATTTTAGATTCTGACCTTATAAAGTTATAATATTTTTGGGATCTGCAATTCCAGTCATTAATATGATTTTACACCACAGCCAGTGTAATAAATAATTTCTAAAATACTATTAGGGTCATAAATTATCATATTGGATAATATATTTTGCAGATTAATTTGTCAAGTATACTTCCATTGTTTTTACCTTAATTCATGTATTTATTTAAATTCTGATTTTTGGTGTTATACCTCCTTAGGAAGCGTATTTTTGGATATGTTTGTACTATTTTACGAGTATCATTGTAGGGTATTTACTAACTTCTAGAATTTCAATGGAAGCCACTATTTTTATTTTTAAATCATTTAGTAGTTATTTTCTGAAAATATTCATGTATACAATTCAAAATTTAAATGGGTAATTTTTGAGTTATTAAATGGATTATGAAATGGTTATAATTATATTCCTTAAGAGGACGCTACACCACGGATGTGTTTGTGACGGAGGTCTTACAAGTATGTAACATTGCAAAAACTGTTTCGCGCGGGAAAGAACCAAGAAGGCTACAGTCTTAACAAAAAAACGAAATCCTACCACAGATAAAATGGAATTTCGACTGTGCAACATTGTTTTTTATTTATTTGATATTAGAACTGAAAAAAAAGTTATTTGATTTTGAAAAACACAAAAATAATGAATTTTGAAACAATAAGAACTTTTTCTATTTGTAATATCGAAAAATTGAAAACAACGTTGCACAGTAAATGTTCTCCTTATTATGTGGTGAAAATTTCGTTTCTTAGTTATAGCTGTAGCCTTCTCGATTCTTTCCCGTGCGAAACAGTTTTTGCAATGTTACACATTTGTAAGACAAAGACAACACATGGGGGTGTAGCGTCCTCTTAATAATAGTTATACATAATATAATATAATTTATTCATAATATTTAGTAATTATTAAACTAAGAATTTTTATGAAATGTTCATCACATCATATATAATGGAGTTTTAATTTTTCTTAATGCAACAATAACAAAATATACACTTATTATTGTTTGGATTTTATTTATGTATATACTATATATTATTTATTTGTCTGTTATTATTGTATAATAATGATAATTTATATAAGTGTTTAATAGCCATTAATAGTTTATTAATAATAAATACTGGTTTATAATACATTAGTGTATTTTGACACTACCATTATAATGGTTATAATAGTTCATATAATATTTTCATCATGACATTATGAAGATAGTATGTTGACATAATTAATAAAATATTACTGAAAAAAATAGTTATACAACTGTCAAAGTACTTTTTTTCACATACTACCATAATATTTGTATTTCAGCTGGACAAACTCCAAATTGGTGATGCAGACAATATAAATAACAAAGATACAACTCCCAAAACACATTTTTATATCCAGGTAATTAGAAAACCTAACTATGTTATCAAGCTTCTGTAAAAAAAAATGTAGAGTTAATATTATTTTTTTTTTATCCAGGAGAATGATAGTGAATATAAGAAATTATCACAGCAACATAAATCTATTCAGAAATTTTCATCAATACAAAACATGGTAAATTTATACTTTTATTTTTATTCATTTATAATATTTTACTAACACTCTTCTATTCATTGCAATAATGTTAAAGTAACAACAATAACAATCAAAATGTTTTTTTTTTTTTTTAATACTTTTTGTTTATTAATTGATATTAATTTGTCACACAACAAAAATAAATAAAAAATTTGTACAATTATTTAAGTTTCAGTGAGAATATTGTTAAATATTTTTACATATTATATCTGTTAAATAAAAATATATATATCTTTATAGCTATTAAACCAAATTGCATGGTGTTCACAAACACGTGGTATCTGTTAATTGAAGGGTGGTTTTTAGAATTCCTATCCATCTCATCATATAATGCTCAAAACTTAATACTCATATAACATAACTGACAGTTAAAACTTAAGTTACATTTTAGGATTCAATTACAAATAACTATTTAATATATTAAATATATTCTTTCTATTAAAATTTGGGTACAGATATTAATCTGTATTATATATTACAAAAAAAATTAATATTCAACACTCTCTTAAATTCTAATTAGTTATGCCAATTATTAGTACCAACCATACATTTTGGAGGGAGGGGAGGGTCAACCTCAACCTCTCCTAAATACGCCACTAGTTTCAATATATTTTAAATTACTTTAATGCTCTTCCAACCTTCATCTTATTTGTTTTGTTCTATCAGATTTATTTGCTTTATAAAATATGCTAAAACTTTTGGTATAACATAAGTTTGTAATCAAAAATTAAAATATTGATAGTCAAACAAAATATTAAACTATAATATAAATTTAATAGTTTTCATTATAATTTACAGCCGCCTATGAAAATATCCACTGCTCAAAGTAGACTTGAAAAATATCCTAAAAAATGTGAAGAACAAATTAAGGTTAGTATTTTAATTTTCAACTTTATAAAATGTTAGTGATTAAATCAAATTATATCATTGTTATAATAATAGTTTTATTTCTTTAGTGCTTGTATATTGTTTATGATCTTAAAGACAAATGTTTTGCTAAAATCATAGTTTTTGATCTTCCTTAAAATTAAATTACTTTTATTTAAATAATAGATGTTGGTATTATAGTGGTTTTTTTTTTTTACCAGAAACCAATTTGTGAAATTTGTGAAACCTGCCGAGGTTTTACCTTATCACTTATCAATATCCACAGAACACATTTAAAAGAACTTTTATATTAATAATTAAGGATCATAGTATAATCATAGATCACATTCACAGTCCACACTATGAGTCAGCGGCATAGATACGATTTTTCTGGGGGGGGGGTTAAAATATATTTATGACACAAATTACAAGTTATTAGTTAAACTAAACATCATTTTTATTTTGTTTCAAATTGGTATTAATTCCATCACCGAAAAATGAAAAATGCAAAAAAAACTTAAAAAATAATCAGTATCATGGAAGATAAAATACCAATATAAAAATTTTTTTTGGGGGGGTTGGGGGGATGGAAACCCCTTACACCCCCACCCTCGTATCTACGCCACTGCTATGAGTCATAACAACTTGGCAATTGATGTCAAATTTATAAATTTTACTTAATTCATATTAAATTAATTTTTGATTTAGGGACTAAATTTTTAGGTGGGGGTTGGTTGAAAAATCCCCATAAAAACAACCCGTGAAAAAATAATCCTATGATAAAAATATTGTGTCTGCAACACTTATTTATGAGATGTCTATGTCAGTCTATGTATGACTCAAAGACAAACAAACATTTAATTTGTTTAGACTTCATACATTTGTATTACAATGTCATTAATAATACCTGAATAAAAAACAAATTGTCAATGTTTTAAATTCATTTTATTATACCAATAGTTATTATATAGACAGACCATCTGATTTGTTTTCATTGTAGGTAAATAATATGGTAATACATTAAATCCAAATTTAACAAAAAAAAAAAAAATTAAAATTGAAAATTCCCAATACCTATATCTTAAAAAGTTTTATTCAATAGTTATTTCGTTATAATCTCAAAATATTGTTTATGGCCTGTAGCCTTGTAGGAACTTAAATATTGAACTTAATTATACATTTTACTGTACACAATAACATAAAAATATTTGAATTAATTTTAAGTTTTGCCTATTAATGCTAATTACGGGAATAATTTTTTCGTGATGTGGCGATGAACACCTGCGGTTTCAACATAATCATCATTCTATACTTATATCCGTACGTGTTTACGAGTACAATTTTCATCGAATTAGGTAAATATTCATAATATGTTTTTTGTTAGTGCACTCTCTAAATATCCCTCGTTCAAAATGTCTCCTATTACAAATATCCTACGTTGAAAATATTCCCGTTATAAATATCCCAATTAAAAATATCCTATATACAAAATATCCCCAGTAATATTATCCCTTAATTCATATTTGTATTGTTATATATTTTTTTAAATAATTTTATACATTTTAATTAAATTGTTTTTGTTTTTGACAATGTATACTTACCGTATTATCTTAAAATCAACTTTATTTTTTAAATAAAATATACATACAAAATAAATGACACACAACATAAAATACCTTTTAAATATTTAAGTACAGTAAGGAACACGTTCATATAGTTAAGAATCATTTCTTTTGTATRTTTCATTTAAAAAATAATGCTAACCTTAAGGTAATACGGTAAATTGAAATATAATATACTGCCAAAAACAATTCAAATTTATAAAATTATTTTAAAAAAATATAGGGTGTCGCGTGAAGATTTACATATTGCGATATCTCCCGAAATAATGGTGATATCGAAATTCTGGTTTTGTAATAAGATTCCTTGGGATAGGAACAAAAATAATATTATATTTTAATTAATTTTAATATTTTGGCCAGTTTTACGTGTGCACTCCTCGTGAGTAGACGTACAGTGCCGTAACGACCTGCCTTATCTTTGTAATTAAGCTAACCTAACTAATCTACACTGTTGTTATCCAAGTAATATGAATATTTTAATTTACTCAATCTGCCCACCAATTTAATTTAATTACCAATCTAATAGTTTTATAATGAATCCACCAGTGAAATCTTCACTATCTCACAGTCTTATTAAAAATACCAAAAATAACACAAACTCACCAATACACCCAATTAAAATTGTTWAAAGCAATGTCAACTCAAATAATTGGCAAACGGTACCGATTAGATCACCTACCACTCCAACTTCCCCCAATCCAAAAATTCAAAAAACCAACTCTTTTTCAAGCAAAAATCGGTTCTCAGCCCTCGCCACCAACGAWGATTCATATGAAAATTCAAATGAAGTCGAAATGCTATCCCAAGAAATCTCAACCGATCAACCCAAAATACCACCTATATACATAAAAGGCGATATCGATTTCTTCGATTTCTGCAAGAAAATTAAACCGTTCACTGACC